TACTCCAGCCTATGGCCTGCAGCTTTCGGGTATGACTGTCTGACAGGGAGTAATTAGTCATAAATGGCCACTTTAGTCTGCCGTATTAGTGGTTGCACTTCGCCCGCAGCATTACCTTTCAACATGCAGCCGTCTAAGAGATTCTAGCATGAAGTTTCTGGAAGAAGAGCAATTTGAGTGTTCAATACTATGTGCAGATCGATGATTAGCACTGCTGAGTGAATAAAATAAACTCGAGCAGCTCGCGGCTCACGAGGATTTCGGCCTCGTTAAACTTGAAAATATGGCCGGGTCCCGTCGCGCGAGCTGCAACCTGGGAATTGCGTCTTTCGGCCATTCGCGTCCGGAGTTATCTCCCGATTTTCCGACGTAGTTTTTTTGTCCACAGCTGCACCAGATCCGGTAAAAGATTCCAGCCTTTCCCTTTTGCGGCAGTGGGTCTTTCGCCCTCACGAGCCGGCGCTTGATGGTTACTTCTGGCTTGTGCGTGTATCAGACTATTTTACGGTTATTCCAGCGATCGCATCTTCTACTTCTGAATCACTTTCACCGTAGGTGCAAGAGTAATTTGATGGTCACTACTGCCAGATCCCATGGGATGGAATAAACACAGTACTTGACATCAAAGAATACCGTGGCAGGAGGCGTACTCGCTTCCACATCAGAAAACGTTTACACTCTTTTACCGGATCTGATGTAGTTTTAGGTTAAGCAAATATGTCGAAGAAACTGGAAGACTGCTTTGGATGGAGATAGTCGAACAGAAGTCAATAGTGGCGAGCAAAGCCAGTGCATGTAAAGCCACAGTTAATTGGTCAGACTTCGACTACTCATTCAAGTTAAACAAAAAAGGCCGAAATACTCGCTTGATGCGACAGCCGCGTGGCTGCGAGTTGCTTGAATCCTGGATATGTGGTCTTCAGTTCGCCAAAAGTGCCATGATCTTGTAGCGGTCTAGGTCATGGTTGTGCTTGGTGTATTGGCGAAGCCAGGGCTATGATTGACTGCGTCCAGCCTGGCCTAAGGGAGAATCAGATAGTGGTGGCAGCTGCTTAACAGAATTGTGGAGCAGGTTAAAGTGTTCTCCAATTGGTGTTTTTGACGTTACCCGAGGGGTGTCAAGTCTGTTGCGTAGGCTATGTCGGCCGAGGGTGCGGGAAAGGGACATGTTCAATTGGTATTTGGGCAGCCGCAACAACCTGGACGCCCGTGAGTGTGTCCGAGTGGAAGTCGGCCAATTCTCTGCAGGTCAGCACGTCCGGAAGCGCTGACTGAGGTATTGGATGACCTTGAGGCGGCTGGCCTTGAACAAGGACGCCGGAAAAAGATATATTGGGCATCTGCTACAACCTCCCCTGCCTATTTGGTACCAAGGTTTCGCATGGGCTGAGCAATTAATCATGCTGCGAGTGCAGGGGGGGGGGTTTTCGAGAAAAATAGCCCATTCACTATCACGTAAATAGCCTACTGTTTCGCCGGGACTGCGCCCATTACCGGCTATCAGGCGATGGTCGCCGGTAGTAGGACTGCGATTAATACGAGAACTTTAGGTGCTATTAAGCGTGTGATTCGGTAACCACTATACCCTCTGTGTATTAATTACCCTTCATAGATTCGATTTCGCCAGCGGACTTA